TGATGCTGCTTGGCCTGCTGTGTTCATCCAGCTCTACACCTTGTTATCTCAGATTCTCCAGCATCTGCAGTTCCTACTATCCATGATTCTTGATCAGTCGGGGAATCAAGGGAAAAGGCAGGAAAGTGGATGAAACGAATGCTGGATCAGCCATGATCCTATTGAATGGCAGACAAGGCTTGAAGGGCCAAATGGCCTACTCATACTCCTATTTCTTATAGCTGGGGACAGAATGGAGAGTTATTCCTAGCACAACTATGCATAAAACAGAGACAGCCACAGGGAGATATCAGAGTTCATTTTAATCGAGAAAAGATGATTCTGACAGCGATTACATTCCTGCTCTGTGCACCAGGAGCAACAATAGTGGGTTTTAGCAAGGTGCCATTATCTGGGACATTCTTCACTGAATGGCCTTCTCTACCTGAGTAATTCCAACCTGAAATCTTGTGGGTTAATACCACAAGCTAATCATTGATTTGAACAGCATTCTTATGGCTTCACCTGTCCTGTCACCATCCGTAACAGTTTCAGTGCCATCTCTCCCTGGTCGGATGGAATCTGAAAACAAAGAAATAACAGTCATCAGCACATCCTGCATACTAATTAAAGGCAAAAGTTGCTTGTGGGAGTAGTTGAATATACACCAACAATGGCTGGAGTCAGACACAGTATAAGGGGGAAAAGCATGGAGGTTGTAAGAAAGGCACCACAATAATTGTGGGGGATTTTAATCTCCATGCAGAGGTTGAGTGAACCAGAAGGATTTGTTCCCAAGAATGAGGATTGTTTTATTCTTTTATGGGACGTGAGCGTCACTGGCAAAAGCCAACATTTTGTTGCCCGGCCATTTCAGAGAGTCAACCACATTGCTCTGGGTCTGGTTTACAGGTGATCAAGACCAGTCAAGGATTTCCTTTGAGCAAACCAGATGGCTTTTTTTTTTGAAAAAAAAACAATTGACAGTGGTTATACAGTCACCATTAGTCTAGTTCTTTAATTCAAATGTCACCATCTGCCATGGTGGCATCAGAGCCATGTTCCCACAGCACCAGCAGGAGGCTATGGTTTACCAGTCCAGTGGCATTACCACCATTACAAAATACCGACTAGGGAACGGGTTATTTTAGGATCTGGCAACATGCAAAGTGACATTAATTAATTAGCCCGACTTTAATTAAATACCCATTGTAAAGGAGTCTCCATAACATGATCGCATTTTATATTCAGTTTAAAGTGAAGGAAGTGTCGGTCTAAAACTAAAAGGATAGGACAGAACTGGGAAAGCAGCTTAAAAAGTAAAGTGATAGAGAGCAGCGGCAGTCAGGTCATTTAAGAACATATTTCATAACCCAGGTCAAAAATATATTCCATTGGAAAAGACAGAACCATCTGTAGCTAGCTGAGGAAGTTCAGTATAGTATCCAATTGAAAAAGACAAGTGGCAGGTCAGAGTACTGGACAGATTCTCAACCAACAAAGAATGTCTCTAAAATGCAGTATAAGAGACAGCTAGCTAGCAATGTAACAGGCAGCAAGAGTTTCCACAAGCTTTCAAAAAGGAGTAGAGTAAATAAAGTGAGCATTGGTCTCAGAGGGTGAACTTGGGTAAATAATAATGGGAAACCAGGAAATGTGTAGACGAGTGCCGCTCCAAGAACACTAGAGAAGCTTGACACCATCCAGGACAATGCAGCCCACTCGATTGGCACTACATCTACAAGCATCCACCGACGCTCAGTCACACTGCTGCAAGATGCACTGCAGCAATTCACCAAAGATCCTTAGACAGCACCTTCCAAACACATGAACACTTCCATCTAGAAGGACAAGGGCAGAAAGTGTATGGGAAAATCACCTGCAAGTTCCCCTCCAAGCCACCCAACAGCCCGACTTGGAAATATATCGCTGTTCCTTCACGGTCACTGGGTCAAAATCCTGAAATTCCCTTCCTTAGGGCATTGTGGATCAACCCACAGCACATGGAATGAAGCAGTTCAAGAAAGCAGCTCACCACCACCACAAAAGCAATTAGGGACGGGAAATAAATGCTGACCCAGCCAGCAACATCTACAATCCTATAACTTTGTTTTTAAAAATGGCAGAAACATTGAACAAGTATTTTGTATGTTTATTCCCTGCAGAAAATAAAAAACTTGAAAATCAAGACGTAAAACAGAGAAACTTAAAACAATCAACCTCCAAAGAATAAAGACCAGGGTCATAAAAGAAGTGGTTGCAATCATGGGGTTCTTCCCAAATTTCCTAGATTATGGAAAGCACACTTTAAAACTGACCAAAAACCTTTAACTTGTAAAGAGGGTTTTTACTGAATCTATATACATGGGCATAGGAGCGATTGACAGACCCATACTAGAAGCACAAATATCTAGGCCAATACTTCAGTACGGTACTGAGGCAGTACCTCTTTTTAAAAACAGTGTTGCCTTTAAGATGGATGAAGGAGAGCCTGTGATAAAAGGGGTAGGTTTTAAACAGCAAATGAATGTCGGGGATTAGGGTCCAGGGAGCCGAATGTATGACTAACGGCTAATACGTCCTTTCCACAAGGATCACCGAAACAGATAATCTGGTTAGGAGAACATTTCTGTTGGTGGAGTCTTGCTGTGCACAATTTGGCTGCCTCATTTCCCATACTACAACAGTGACCACAGCTAAAGAACAATATTTTCTTGGCTGTAAAGCACTTTGGGACACCCTGTGGTCACGAAAGAGACTATATAAATGCAAAATGATTTTCTTTCAGCTCCTGAACACCTTAACTGTGTCTGGAACATTAATACAGGTATCCCAGACTGTCAGGAAGTTAAAAATCACTCACCATATGACCAGCTTTTAGGATCCAGAAGAAGGCAAAGTTCTGGTATTGTTTATAGAATGCAGCAGTATCGGAGGGTTTGGATGGAGTGTACACAGGTTTCCATCGCAGCCTGGAGAATGGAGAAAGGCCTGGCCATTTCAGCTTCTTCACCCACATTTCCTGCCCTGGATTGGGAAAGGAGGGAGAGAGAAGATTTTTTTTCAAAAACTTGGATTAAATCTCCCATTTGCCTTCTCTGCTCCAATAGGAATAGTTCCAGCATCTCTCCATCCTGAACTAGCCACTGTGGTTTCCATCCAGGCAAATCCATACTCTCCTTTCTGTAATGGGACTGAGCCACCTCCAGTCTTTCGCTGTGCTCTAACAAGCTCTTGTCCTTTGTGCAGATTCGTCACCCTGTGCATTTTCAGACAATCCTGTACCCAACACCCCAAGTTTTTCTTCACCCATACCCTTCAGTCTATTCACCTTCACAACCTATTGCATCTTTATATCTACCACGTCTTCAACCCTTGCTTTTCTGTTTCAATTCCCTTCATAATCTCACTCTTCCCCATTTAATATTTTCAAGGCTTGCAACCCTGAAAAGTTGCAATCCTCTATTTTGGGCTTCTTACATAACAGCAAGAGATTTCTTTTCTTTATTCATTCACAGGATGAGGGCATCGCTGGCCAGGCAGCATTTATTGCCCACAGGGCAGCTAAGATCAACCACATTGCTGTAGGCCTGGAGTCACATGTAGGCCAGACCAGGTAAGGATGGCAGTTTCCTTTTATAAAGGGCATTAGAGAACCAGATGGGTTTTTCTGACAATCGACTCATTGATTCACGATCATCATTAGACTGTTAATTCCAGATATTTATTGAATTCAAATTCCACCATCTGCTGTGGCGGGATTTGAACCCAGGTCCCCAGAACATTATCTGGGTCTCTGGATTAATAGTACAGTGATAATACCACTAGGCCATCGCCTCCCCAGGAGGGGAGGAACAGGAGTTGACTATTCAGCCCATCCAACCTGTTCCACCATTCAATATAATCATGGCCGATCTTGGACTTCAGCTCTGCATATTCCTGAGATGTCTAAAATCAGTCTATCCCAGCCTTAATTGCATTTAAACAATAAAGTATCCACAACCCTATAGGATACAAAATTCCAAAGATGCACACATTCCTTTCATTAACTAATTTCTCTTTATCTCAGTCCTGAATGATTGGACTATTATCCCAAGAATATTTCAGATCCCCTGTGAGCAGTATCAGCCACATAAGCCCCACAGAGTCTTGTATGTTTCAACGAGACTGCCTCTCATGCTCCTAAATTCCAGAGAATCTAGACCCAATTTACTCAGCCTCTCATCCCAATCTAGTGAACTGTCCTGCCTCTGATATGAGTATATCTTTCCTTAAATAAGGAAACTGCACACAGTATTCAGTGTGTGGTCTCATTAAAAACCCTGTACAATTAAAGCAAGATTTCTTTATTCCTACATTCCAATCCTCTTACAGTAAAAGGACAACTTATCAGGCAGTTAGGAAGGCCAATATCTTTGGGTTCTTTGCTCAAAGTCTCCAAATATCAACATTTACAACTTTAAACAATTCTGCTTTTCTGTTCTTCCGAAGTGAATAAGATGATAAGCGACAAGAGCAGAAGTAGGCCATTCAGCTCATCGAGACTGCTCCACCATTCAACGAGATCATGACTGATCTGATAATTCTCAACTCCATTTTCCCACCCTTTTCCCATAACCTTCAATTCCCTTACTTATTAAAAGCTAGTCACTCTCAGCCTCAAATACACTTAATGACCCACAAAATTGTCACAGTGCAAGAGATGACCATTTGGCCAATTAGACCAATGCCAGTTATATTGCCTGTTACCAATTCCTGTCTTTTCCCCATCTCCCTGCAAACCATTTATGCCCAAATAACCATCCAATGCCCTCTTGAATATCTCAATTGAACCTGCCTCCACCACATTGCCAGGCAGTACGTTCCTGACCCTAACTACTCACTGTGAGAACAGTTTTGTCTTCGGTCACCCTTGTTTCTTTTGCACATTCTTTTTATTCACTCGCAGGATGTGGGTATTGCTGGCTGTGCCCAGCATTTATCGCCTCATCCCTAGTTGCCACTTGAAGGTGTGGTACGCTCCCTTCTTGAACCCCTGCAGTTTGCCTGCTGTGGGTTGACCCACAATGCCCTTAGCAAGGGAATTCCAGGATTTTAACCCAGCAACACAAAGAATGGTGATACATTTCCAGGTCAGGGATACAAGTGGCTTGGAGGGGAACTTGCAAGGTGTGGTGTTTCCACATATCTGCTGCCATTGTCCTTCGAGACGGAAGTGGCCGTGGGTTTGGAAGGTGCCGTCTTTGGTAAATTGTTGCAGTGCGCCTTTGTAGATACTACACACTGCTGCAAATGAGCGGTGGTGGAGGGAGTGGATATAGTGCCGATCAGGTGGGCTGATTTGTCCTGTATAGTGTCACTTTTTAATTTTGTTGGAGCTGCATTCATCCAGGCAAGTGGGAAGTATCCCATCACACTCCTGACTTGTGCCTTGTAGATGGTGGACAGGCTTTGGAGAGTCAGATGGTGAGGTACTTGCCATAGTATTTGTAGCCTGTGACCTGCTCTTGTAGCCACTGCGTTTATGTGGCACAGCCAGTGAATGTCTGGTCAGTGGTAACCCCCAAGATGTTGGATAGTCAGGGATTCAGTGATGGTAACACCATTGAATGACAAGAGATGGTGGTTAGATTGTCTCTTATTGGAGATGGTCATTGCCTAGCATTTGTGTCGCATGAATGTTACTTGCCACTTGTCAGCCCATTTCTCACCATTTTAGATCGATGTCCTCTTGTTTATGTTTTACAAGTGGGGATAGAATTGATCATGAGAAACTATCTGTATGATTTTGACCAAATCTCCTTTCATCCTTCCTCTCTCCAAGGAGAATCATTCCAACTTCTTCAATCTATCCTCACTGAAGTTTCTTACTCCTGGAACCATTGTTATGAATCCCTTCTGCACTTGCTGTCCAATGTGTTCACTTCTTTCCTATAATGTGTTACCCACAACTGTACACAGCACTCCAGCTGAGGTCTAACAAGTGTCTTGAACAAGTTCAAGATCACCTCCCTGCTCTTGTACACAACACACCAAAGAAATGGTGAGCAAACAGGCAAGTCTGAGGCTGCTACAGTACAGAAGGGCAGCAAGTTAAATAGTCAAGGCAGGCAAGAGCACAGAAGAGACTGATAAATTAAACTGCATTTACTTCAATGCAAGAGGCCTGACAGGTAAGGCAAATGAACTCAGGGCATAGTTGGGAAAATGGGACTGGAATATCTTGGGTATTACGGCAACGTGGCTTTGGGACGGAAAGGACTGACTGCTTCATGTTCTGGGATATAGTTGCTATGGGAAGGATAGAAAGGGAGAGTGCATTTTTGGTTAGGGATAATGTTACGGTAGCACTTAGGGAGGATATTCCTGGAAGAATGTCCAGTGAGGTTATTTGGGTGGAACTGAAAAATAAAGGGATGAGCACCTTATTGGGATTGTGCTATTGAGGCCCCAATACTCAGCATGAAGTTGAGAAGCAAATATGTAAGGAGACCTCATTTATCTGTAAGAATAATAGGGCTGTAATGGTAGGGGATGTTAACTTCCCAAACATAGACTGGGACTGCCATAGTGTTAATGGCTTGTATGGAGAGGAATTTGTTAAGAGTGGATAAGAAAATTTTCTTATTGAACATGTGGGTGTATCCACTAGAGAAGGAGCAAAATTTGATCTTCTCTTGGGAAATAAGGCAGGGCAAGTGGCTGAGGTATCATCAGTGGGGAGCACTCTGGGGCAAGTGATCATAATTCTATTAGTTTTAAAACAGTTCTGATCTAAAAGTTAAGCTTAAATTGGAGTAAGGCCAATTTTGACAGGATTAGGCAAGAACTTTCAAAAGTTGATTGGGGGCAGCTGTTTACAGATAAAAGGGATGGTCAGAGAGCGTGAGGCCTTCAAAGATGAGATGTGGAGTTCAGAGACAGTATTTTCCTGTTAGTGCAAAGGGCAAGGCTGATGGATGTAGGGAATGCTGGATGACTTGAGATATTGAGGCTCTGGTCAAAAAAAAAAGGAGACACGTGTCAGGTGTAGACAGCTCGGATCGAGGGATTCCCTAGGTGATCCTAAGGGCACTAGGAGTATACTGGAGAGAAATCAGGAGGGCAAAAAAGGGACATGAGAGCGCTTTGGCAATTAGGGTTAAGGAGAATCCAAAGAGATTCTACAAATACATTAAGGGCAGAAGAGTAACTAGGAAGAGAATAGGGCTCCTTAAAGGACAACAAGGCTGTCTATGTGAGGAACCACAGGAGATGGGCGAGATACTAAATGAATATTTTATGTCAGTATTAACTGTGGAGAAGGAAATGAAAGCTATGAAACTTGTGTAAAAAGTGAGATCTTAAAATGCGCAAGGGTAGATAAAGTCCCAGGATCTGATCAGGTGGATTGCAAAACTTTGTGGGAAGCTAGGGAAGAGATTGCTGGGCCCCTTGTTGAGATATTTGTATGTATGGCATGTCTTCTATTGTGGACACAGGCACAAAATATTGTCTGTTCTTTCCTCATTATAATTCCTTTGTTTCTAAGGACCCAATGTTTATTTGTGTTACTCTCTTCCAGTAAAAGCTCCTGAAGTCTATTTTTATATTCCTACATAGTTTACCTTTGAATTTTACTTCTTCCTTTTTTTTGTTTTTTAAATGGGCTTTTGCTGGTTTCTAAAACACTCAATCCTCAGATTTTACTGGTTTTTGCTTGCAATGTTATACACACCTCTTCTTTTGAACTGTGCCAACTTTAACACCAGAGTGGACCACAGATTTTCCTCAGAGATAACACGCAGTGTGGAGCTGGAGGAACACAGCAGGCCGGGCAGCAGAGGAGCAGGAAAGTTGACGTTGAGTCAGGACCCTTCTTCAGAATGATTCGAATGACCTGAAACATCAACTTTCCTGCTCCTCTGATGCTGCCTGGCCTGCTGTGTTCATCTAACTCCACACTGTTATCTGACTCCAGCATCGGCAGTTCTTACTATCGGAGTAGATTTTTCTCAGACTTTGTTTCTCAATGGATTGTACTTTTA